TAGAATGGCATCCAAACCAGGTTGAGGCTTGGGGATTTCTACAATTGCAATGCTATTAATTACTTATGAAAAATTCTGAAGAAGAGAGAAAAGCAATCGACATTAGACAGATTCTTTAACCTTTTCAAATGGAAAAACATGACTAATAAAAACGCAAGACTGCGCATGTATGTATTTTTATTATTACATATAAATAAACATAGTAAGAAAGTATATATTTTTTTATTTTTGGCGGTCTCCAGAATGAATTAATTAAATTCCCATTAAAACCTATGGTAAATCGATAATCGGTTAATGAACAATTCGGATAGTGAACAAAATCTTGGAACGGATTATATTCGTTAACCGATCACCCACTGTATATAAATTTCAGATTACTATTACATATGAAAAGTTTATTGAGATACAATGAAAGTCTTTGTGCGCCAAAAAATTTATGCACACAAAAGCTTTAGAATAGAATGCTACCAGAGATGGTTCCTTCCTATTTGGCTGAATTTAATATATATTGTAGTATTATCCTCCCAGTAATTCATGACAAAGCCACTTGATGTATGTCTCAAGAATTCACAAAAAAAACATGCTTAAAATCCTCCATGCTTTTTATGTACCAATCCATTTGAATAACATGTTAAAAAAGGCAAAACCAAGTGGCTAAAGAGTTTGCTATGCTGTATGTTGCAGGTTCGAATATTACTCTTTTAAAAGTTTTTCTAATCTGCATTGAAATGAATTATTGCATAAAAAAAAAATTAGTATTTGTTATTATTTATTTATCATGCACTTTAAATATTTTATCCATCGTAATTCAGCATATCAATATCCCAATAACCTGATGTATATTACAATAAACAATCAACCATTGCCTGATTATTTCAACTGTTGATTAGTTGTTTATTGTAATTCAACATTATATACATTGTAATTTTCAGGTAGATATGCAGCAAGACTACACAATCAGGGATGTGTAGTCTTGCTTCATATCAGGAGTCAGAGTTGATTTGAAAAAATACTGACTTGGAGTTGGGAGTCATGTATTTTTCCACCAACTCCCCATCCCTGGAATGAAGAGTCAGAGTCGAGGAGTGAAATCTTTTTATGAGAGTCATGAGTTGTGTATTTTTCTACCAACTCACCATCCCTACATATAATTACAAAAATCTTCTTTGCAAGTGTTGAATTATTGATGTAGCAACATTAGCAAGTTGAAGAAGTTATGTAATATGAACTATTTTACTTATTACAATTGTAATCATTCACTAAATGGGTTTGTATCACAACACCCTCAACTCATTCATTTTATTACAGCAATGATTAAGACTAAACAAGAAAGGAACTTTCTATTTACTCAACTGTTGCTGATATAATATAGTACAATGTTGTAAAAAATAAAAAAACATGGAAAATAATTGGAAATTTTTTATTGCATAGTAAATAAATGTTATAATTACAAAACACTGATTTTTTTTTGTTAAAAATAAAAAATATATAACAGAAAAACTTTTAAAAAAGTAAGATCTGACCTGCAATACAGCACAGTAGGTGGACACCTTTTCCATTCAGTTATGATGCTGTTATCATAGTACCTATTTAACACAGTATATAAAGAACATGGAAAATTTTAAACCCTTGTTTTTTGTAAATACTTGGAGATTACAATGAGTGGCTTTGCACTGAATTACTGGGAGGGTAGAACTAAAATATTTCTCAAACTTTGGCCGAATTGAAGGGGGCCATATGTGGCAGTTTTTTTTATTAGTAAAATAATGATAGCATGACTATTTTGTAAATCTGATATAAAAAAATTATTTCTGTATAAATAATACATAGTTAAACCTTTACCAGCAAAAAAATTATTGGGTATTTCAAATGTTTTTTGCTGTACTAACAGCAATCATCAGGATAGCATAAAACAGAACATTATGTTCCTTTCTATCTGAATGGAATACAATGTTCTATTTGGTGCTTCTTTGATGATAGTTGCTAGTAGTCAAGATAATTGAAGTACTCAATAAATTTTTTGTTGGTGAAGGTTTTACAGTGTATTATTTGTAAAAGAAACCAGCTAAGTTTAAGTATGTGTTTCTGTATATTGGAGCATGCATGGAAGTTAGCAAGGCAGAATTTTTCAAATGTGAATATCCAGACTTATTCATAGTATATATTTTCATTTTTATTTGGACTTAATGTTCAGTCTAAAACCTTCAATAAATCTAAATTCAAATTTTGCATATAAGATTAAAAAATAAATGTATTCAATACTGTATTTACTACTTATTTACTTTATCGAGAATGTTCTACTTATTAATTATAAGTATGAGCCCTTCTATTGTGGGTGTTTTATATCCTAATGTTGATGCAATTTCTTTAATTCTATTAATTTCTTAAATTCTATTGATTTCTTTTAATCAGTCCTTTATATTGGAGCAATACAAAAAGGTTCTTCTAAAGAGTACTCTGAACACTGAAAGTTTATACAGGTATACCTTGCCTTACGTTGGTAATTTGTTCCAGGAGAGGTGACTTAAGTCGAATTTACTTGTCACTAGGCTAAACCACAAATAACCATTCCCAGTTCTGCATTTTATTTATAAATGAATTTTTAATAATATATTGTGAATAATAATATATCTTAAGCTTACAAACAAATAAATTTTAGTTTTAAATATAGTACAGAAAAAAGTAATCTAAATTTACGAATTCGTGTACGTACAGTACATACTTGTAAATATACATGTTTACAATTTGGTGATGTTTACAGTATGTCACAGACTTTTTATTTATGAATGTGGTTTGCTCTAAGACATTATAAAATATGATGATTTTGTAAGGTTAAATAACAAATACAGTTATTAAAATTATTTTGCGATAGTAGAAAATAAACAAATTTGTGTTAAATTTACCAATATCGAGTGGTGCTGACAACAATGCCAAATGGTTGATATTGGAACTACCATGGAAAACGCCAATATTGAGCTCTTAATTAATTAAAGACTGCTAAATAAGACAACACACAGAGTCACAGATGTTTTCATATTTTGTTCTCTAGTATTTATAATGATTATATTAACATCTACTGTAAATGTATGTATTTTAATATGATTTTATGTGCTTTTAATGCTTTTCTAGTGATATTAAAACTTCAATATTTGTGACAGACAAAGGTAAAGTCGAATAAAATGACTTAAACTTGATTTTTATCTTTTTTTTTTTTTTTTTTGACAAACAATGTAGAATCAAGAATGATTTAATTCGAAATGATGTAACCCGAGGTATACATGTATATGTAAGCATCATTGGACCATGATGAGATGTACAGAAGAGTGTATATAGAACCAATTAAAAATTGATTCTATATACACTCATTTGTATATCTCATCTCTTATAAATATAAAAATTTGAAATTGGATGATTCTTTCTGAATTACCCTGTATTTATAACTTACTTACTAAGGAATGACAAAGACAAATTAAGAAGGGAGGAACAATCTGGAGTAAACAAAATACCCTATGAAAACTGAGTTAGGGATAAAAAAAAAATTATGTTTATGTTACACAAAAAAAACTTACAGTGCATCTGAAGAAACACAAACATAAAAATGTAATATAATTTATAAATAATTTTACAATTTTTTCATAGTAATATAACTTTAGTAGCAAGTCACAAATGGAAGGTTCAGTTGTAAAGTGGAATGAAGCAAACAAGCAAACATTATTAAAAAGTACTCTCTCCAACCATTGCTATGCACATGGAAAAAAAATATATATATATAATAGCAAATTTAAAAACTAACACTGATTCCCAAGGATGCAAATGTATTACCTTCAGCATGGAAATACATCACAGAAAAAAGATGAAGATATATAAGACCCAGAATTGTGTCCATCTACAATCAACTTTGATTTTACTTTTATGTTATATTTTCTTAATTTTACTTTTATTTTGTTAACTTTACCTTTTTCATTCTTTATTTAATTTATGCAATTTTAAATTTGTATTTAAAATATTAAGTTTAAATGTAAAATCTGGAAAACAATGTTCTATTTTTTAAATGATTTTTAATTTTAGTTCAAAACCTAAAGAAGATCTATGTTAATAGGTTTAAAACATTTGTTAAATAAACAATTTTCTCTCAGCAAACCTTAGGTGGTGTAATAGGTTTGTACTTTTAAATAATATTTAATTCATTTGAAAAATTTCATATATTTGAAAACATCTATATGAATAGAGGAGAAAGTACTTGTAATAAAATATTTATTTTTGTTTTCTATTACTTTATTATTAAAACTGTAGTCTTTTTGTGTGCATTGCCAAATAATAATATTTTTACAACAACTAATCTCTTGCAAATCTAATCTGAAATGCTCAAGAATGTAGAAAATAAACTAATTACTATTTTTATATTTTCTTCAAATGAGATCAAGTGTAAATGATATCTCAATTGTGTAATACTTTAAGCTCAAAACTATAATTATTTGCATATAGTATGTAAGTATATAAAAAACTTATATGTTTGAATGAAAAATATTCAATAGTATCCAATATATATATATAAAGTTTTTCTATTTCTATCACTTATTTTGTAATCTGACTTTTAATATTTATTTAAGTTGATGATTTCATGAATATTTTGTCTAAGTATTACTGAATATGGGAAGTTCAAACTAATATGCTATCATTTCAAGATTCAACATTACTATCTTTTTTCCTTCTTTAATATATAAGATAATATGACTAAATTTGATACCTCCAATTTTAAACTGATAGTTTTGATTATTTACGGCAATAAAATAAACAGATACTCTGTGTTATCAATGAATAAAAGTGAAATTTTAAATAATTCATTCAAACAAATAAAAATAAATAAATATAGAATTCTTAAATTATTTCATAAAATGGTTTAAAATGTTTTGCAGTTGTGTAAGTTTATATTCTCAAAACAAATATGTAATATGTTCAAATTAAACTTTATATTAGAAAAGAAGATAGTTTGTACTTACATTCTATCCAACTGTTTGTTAACTTCTTCATCACTCTCATAATCTTTAAGAATTTGTGCAACCAAGGCACCATAAGTTAATGTAAATAATTCAGAACTCTAGAAAGAAATAGTTAATAGTATAATTATTTATCATAAATTATACAAAAAAACAGAAAAGATGTTTATTTGTATAGCATTTATTACATTAAAATGAATAATCTGTACTCAAATGACTATGCCTAAATAAAACAAAGTCTTTGAACTTAAAGAGTTGCTTATTTTAAAAAGCTTCAACAAGAAATATAAATTCAATTTATATGTAAATGGAGTGAATCCACGAAAAATCAGACTGTCTCTGAATGTTAAATAATCTTTTTTCATTTATTAAGTTAGATTTTTTATATATTTTACATAATTTATTTAAAATACAGTAGAGCATCAATTATCCAACTCAATTGGGGACTCAGGTTGGTCAAATAACTGAAAAAATCGGATAACCGAAAAGAAGGAAAAAAATACATTATTAGTATAGTATATTAGGATATTAGTATATCCCATGTAATTAGTTTATTAGTATATCACTATTAACCAACTTCGCATTGAATTTTCATCGATGTTTAGCCTAGCAAATTTTTTTTTAAATAATAATCGTCGCTATTGTATTATTAAAAATTATTTTATTGCTCACGAAACAAACAACCACTCATAATTAGAAAATTAAGTCTCGTTTAAATACTGGCCTCCCTTCAATGGTCGAGCCATTGATGCCAGCTAAAACATGCAATAATTTAACAAAAATAATATTAAAGTAGCCAAGACATAGCCTAATATTGTAGTGCCACATCACTAGCGGACATTTGAAATTTGCCGACTAGAATGGTCGGTTAACCGATGTGATGGTTAATCGGGGGTCGGAAAATCGATGCTCTACTGTAGTATGATTCTCATGTTTTATTTTAATATACTTTTTATTATTTACTAAGTTAATCCCATTTTTCTTTGCAAGTTATTAAATTGTTACCATTGTAACTAATTGTGGTTAAGGCTATATTAACCACAGCTAGCTTAGATATCTATAAATTTTAGAATTGCTTACTTTTTCTTTTAGAATTTGTAGTATTTTGAGTTTATAATTTTAAAGATATATGTTATTTGCATTTCAAAAATGTCACTGAAAATATATCATCAATTTAATACTCTTATTTTTATTACATCAGTTCTTACCATTTTTTAAATTTTGTTCTAACATAAGCATTTACCATACTAAATTTTGTTTAGTATGTGTTCTTATTTAATTTTATTACTTATTCTGTATTTTTCAGAAAAAATTTAGTAAACTTCCTATATCATATATTAAAATGTATATGTAAGCATCATTGGACCATGATGAGATGTACAGAAGAGTGTATATAGAACCAATTAAAAATTGATTCTATATACACTCATTTGTATATCTCATCTCTTATAAATATAAAAATTTGAAATTGGATGATTCTTTCTGAATTACCCTGTATTTATAACTTACTTACTAAGGAATGACAAAGACAAATTAAGAAGGGAGGAACAATCTGGAGTAAACAAAATACCCTATGAAAACTGAGTTAGGGATAAAAAAAAAATTATGTTTATGTTACACAAAAAAAACTTACAGTGCATCTGAAGAAACACAAACATAAAAATGTAATATAATTTATAAATAATTTTACAATTTTTTCATAGTAATATAACTTTAGTAGCAAGTCACAAATGGAAGGTTCAGTTGTAAAGTGGAATGAAGCAAACAAGCAAACATTATTAAAAAGTACTCTCTCCAACCATTGCTATGCACATGGAAAAAAAATATATATATATAATAGCAAATTTAAAAACTAACACTGATTCCCAAGGATGCAAATGTATTACCTTCAGCATGGAAATACATCACAGAAAAAAGATGAAGATATATAAGACCCAGAATTGTGTCCATCTACAATCAACTTTGATTTTACTTTTATGTTATATTTTCTTAATTTTACTTTTATTTTGTTAACTTTACCTTTTTCATTCTTTATTTAATTTATGCAATTTTAAATTTGTATTTAAAATATTAAGTTTAAATGTAAAATCTGGAAAACAATGTTCTATTTTTTAAATGATTTTTAATTTTAGTTCAAAACCTAAAGAAGATCTATGTTAATAGGTTTAAAACATTTGTTAAATAAACAATTTTCTCTCAGCAAACCTTAGGTGGTGTAATAGGTTTGTACTTTTAAATAATATTTAATTCATTTGAAAAATTTCATATATTTGAAAACATCTATATGAATAGAGGAGAAAGTACTTGTAATAAAATATTTATTTTTGTTTTCTATTACTTTATTATTAAAACTGTAGTCTTTTTGTGTGCATTGCCAAATAATAATATTTTTACAACAACTAATCTCTTGCAAATCTAATCTGAAATGCTCAAGAATGTAGAAAATAAACTAATTACTATTTTTATATTTTCTTCAAATGAGATCAAGTGTAAATGATATCTCAANTCAGAAAAATACTTTATGAGAGCTTTTATACTTTTATAAAGCTGTCTATAATGAAAATGAATTAACTAAGGATTTTTTTGCCCTGCCAGGGTGTGGCCGAGTTATCCGGAGTGCCGGGTTATCGAGAGCCGAGTTTTCGAGGTTCTATTGTATTATTAAGATGTATTCTTATTTATGAAAAAAAAAAAATCATGGAATATTCTCTTTTATATATACCAATTATTGAGCTTTCAATCCTGTATTATGTCATGCTCAATCTTTTACAATCATATGATAGTTATTTATAAAGAATTATCACATATTGAAACTCTCATATACAACTAATTTAATAGATACATATTTATGACTTTAACAAACTTCAAGCTATACACCAACCAATGCTGAATATTATTGGGCTAGAAATGGCTATAATATTAATAATTTATAAGAAAATTGTCTTATAAATTATTAATATTATAGCCATTTCTAGTCCGATAATATTTGGCATTGGTTGGTGTATAGCTTTATGACTTTATTCTGGCCCACCTAAAATACATTTTGGATTCAATAAAATGAAACAGCTGTCATTAGTTTTATCTGACCAACAAATGCCTAACATATATTACAACTCTTACAATGATACAATGTATAACATATCATAATAAATTAGCTGTATGAAAGTTTCAATATGTAATAACTCCTTATAAATAACTATTATATGATAGTAAAAGATTCAGATTTTCTTTTATATTTTCATTATACTTATAAAATTTTTTCTTCTTATGGAATCAAAAAGCAACTTTGCACTAATAGACCTGAATTATAAATAAAAAGTCTAAATATTGCTTGAATAAAAGAATAATTATGTATAAATAAGCTAATATGTTCTCAGCTAATAGAAAGTAAACACTGTATACAAATAGCCACTATATATTATTCAACATATTCCCCTGGTCTTCATGCACTTTCTGCAGTGATGTTCTAATATCGTTATCCCATTAAAAATAATTCATAACTTTGGTCCAACCATTCCACCAAAGCCTACTTAGTCTTCCTTTCAGGTCTTTTTTTTTTTTCAAATGGAAAAGAAACAGTAACCTGAAGAAGCTAGTTAAATGAAGAGGGAGGATGGTGAACGTGTTCAAACTTCAGTTTGCTCAGTTTGGTCACTGTTTTCTGAACAGTGTGTGCCAACTCCATTTTGTTGAATTGGACATTGCTTTCCATTATTTTGTCTTTGCAACTTTGTGCAAAATGATGCAAGACCTATCATTTATTTTCAGCAAAGATATCATACAAGATTTATTCTATCATGTCATATCATCATAAACCAATCGACATCTATCAGCACATGCAAGTACAGTAAGGAGATGATCAAGAGTTGTACACAGGTGTATGAGTAGAGTTCTAAGGTTCCAAAAACAGCCACAATTCTATGGAAGAATCTTTATGGCTGGGATTACAGTGAATACTATGAAGAATCCTCCACAGAAATGTGCTGTTTTGGAAACCTTAGAACTCTAATCACAAATCTCTGTGCAACTCCTGTAGTTGTGTGCATGTGCTGATGGATGTCAATTGATTTATGTCAAAAAATTGGACAACACTATACCACTCTTTTTTTGTACATTTCTGGAAAGGCATTGCCATTTTATTAGTCTGTTGTCTTATATTCTTGTGCATCAACATTGTTGCCAGTCACAGTTACTGTTATCTCTGACTTGGAAGTTTCATGTGTAAAAATTACTATGTAATTCTCATCCTCCCAATTTTTAATGGCACTTTTCTGGTTTTCTATTGAACGTATCTTCTATATAGCTTTCTCAATATGTAATATGTTACTTAATTTTAAACTCAGAAATCATTCTATGATTTCTATAATACCTTTACATAATGTGTAAAAATAATAAAAAAATTAATGTTCCGAAAATTTTGTTTAATCCAATAAAGTTACCAGCAAAATATGAATATGCTGATATTGATGTTCATTATACACCAATTACTAAATCAAACTAGAAAAGAAAAATCATTTTAGATATATTTAATTAAATATGGATAAAAGCACAAGCAATAATTTTCTTCACTAATAATTTATTATTGAAAAAAATTATTGAAGTATTCAACTAAATTGTTTACAAAACATTTTAAGTATTTAAGAATATATTATAAGCATTTATTTGTAAATAAACATGTCAAAATGATATACAGGGTGTCCACAAAGTCTAGATACATAAGGATTAACACATACTTTTAAAACAAAATAATTTTATTTGATTCTAATATTAATAAATAACATTTTCAGTATGATTTCCATCATATTGAAAATAATGAAAATCATATTGAAAATGTTATTTATTAATATTAGAATCAAATAAAATTATTTTGTTTTAAAAGTATGTGTTAATCCTTATGTACCCAGACTTTGTGGACACCCTGTAGATTAGATTCTCAAAGCAAACAAACATTAGCAAATGTAATATTCTCATGATGTGATAATTTTTTTCAAATTCCAAATATATATCAGTCTTTCTATTTAATTAATATGTACTTTCTCTTTCTTGTGCTTTATCTGTGTATATGTTTATATATAGTAATTATTAAATTGGTTATTGTAAACACTATATACTGACTAATCACACATCATAAAAACTTTATTTACTACTTCAAATCCTGGTATGCATTTTGGCCTTTACAATGGCCTTCATCAGTCAGTCTGTAAAAGAAAGAAAGAAGTGATGTTTTCAGATGCAAAAAGTGATGAAAATAAAAGCAAGTTGGCCTGAAAAGTGAAGAAAAAGGACAATTTTTATATAACAGAATTTTATAGGTATTTCAGATGTTTATAACTTATATTTTTTATATATATGTTAATGTTAATTGTAAAATAATTCAATACTATTGATGAACAGCAGAATAAAAGTCAATATACCTATTGTTAAGTTCTTGATAAAAATCACAGACCTGACTGACAATGGTCTTTACAATGGCCATGAGGGCCATTGTAAAGGCTGAAATGCATAGTGGAATTTGTAGTAGTGAATACAGATTTTTTGTGGTATGTGATTCATCTGTAAATAATGTTTACAATAGACAACTTAATAATTACACATACTTTCTTGTATTATGTACAATATACAGTTGAACCTGTTTATCTCAAAAACCTCTTTATCTAAAATTTATTTTTTCCCCTGCATTTTCAGTCTAAAATCAATATATTTTCCATGTTTATCTCAAATAATTTTCTCCCAAAACCTCTACATTTCAAATTATGAACTGAAGTGTCTATTACAATTCAAACATAACTACATTTTGGTAGCATAAACTGTAGTCAGAAACATCTGTTGCAATATAGTACATAGTTGCAATTAATGCTGTTTTTCTCTATTGGCTATGAGTTTGTTCAGTTTTTAATTTATGACAATGCAAAACATGGGTGATCTGCCAAGGGGAGATGCTTCTCAGGAGTTTATAACATCTAAATAGGGACAAGACCCTACTTAGATGTTACAAACATGAAGAAACCTGAAAAACTCCATGTGGCCAGCCTGTTGGTGAGGCATGAACCCAAAGATGTTCAGTAGTTTTATTCACTCAGCCATTAGTGGGCTAAGGCTACAAGTTTGGCTTGCATCTTACTGGTTGAAGAAAGTCAGGGATTAGGAACTATTGACAAACACTATTTCTGTTAAGATATGTCAATAATGTTTTATTTATACTAATTCAGGCATGTATTGCTATTGTTTTAATAAAATACTGTATCTCTAATCAAACATATTACTGTTCATTGTGTAAAAATCTCTATATATATCTCAAATTTTTTCTCATTCCTGTGATATTTGAGATAGACAGGTTCAACTGTATTTATATAAATTAAGGCCAGGGGTGCCTGTACATTGAACAGTTGGGGCATGTGTCCCCTTTCATCTGGATTGCCTTTACCTAATTTCCAAGGAAGCTCCAAATTCCATTATCAACAAAAAACAGAAAATTCATGACTTCTAGCCTATTCTGTAAATATAAAACTAACTAATAAATAATATTGTCCATTATCCCATGCAACTTCATCATATGTTGACCAAAACTTGCCCTTGAAATGAGGAGTGTTCCTCGTTTTCAATGCCAATTTAGCCCCAAATCCACAACCAGCATCACCTTGTGGGAGCACTGATCTAATGTTGAATCATAGTTTGAACTTCTTGCACAATAAATGATATATATTTTTTTTTTAGTTTGCTGACACTGCTGATAAAAGCTACTTATTTTTGCAAATATCCTTTAATACAATCATTTCAATTCAAAATACAGACTTTTTTTTTCAAATGCTCAGTTGACAAGTAAGCATTTGCAATGCATCTCAATGATGTCATTTCAGGAAATATAATTAAAAACAAATTAATTGATTTTAGATAGAAATTGTTTATGCATACTGAAATAAAATAAAAACTAATTATATTCTTAAAATATCTTATGCTAATGAAAAAATAACAATAGATATGTTATTTACCTCCAAATTTTTTAAAAATAAATCCTTTTGAATATATTTATGCAACTTAACCATATCTTTTAATTAATCTCACATGCTTAGCCTGCAGCCTCATAAGTTTTCTCTTAGTACGATTATGAATACAATAAAAATAGGCACAATGAACCTTTAGTTGTCTATAGCCTATAGCAGAGGAAATGTCCATTTTCATTTGCATTGTTTGCTATTCCATTCATTCCACATAATCTATACATCATCATTAAAAATGAAAAAAGATAATATGACAAATCACTAAATGATAAGTTACTGATAAATAATCATGAATTTTCTAATGTCTGCCATATACAGGAAGATATATTGAGAAGACAGAAAACATAATATATTAATGCTCTTGTTATATAGTATAATTTATATACATTAACAAAATAAAATTTTGTTTTAGTTTTAATATTTGAAACTATAAATTCTTCATAAGTTTTAATATGCTTATGTAAAATTTCTTATAATAAAATGTTGGTATTGAATAATAAATACTCAGAACAGAATTCTTTCTTACTCAAATAGAAATAATCTCATTATTTAATCATTTTTATGAAGTTTACTTATGTTAAATTTACTATACTGTATTTAACTTTTTTAGTGTAGTTAAGCTTTAATAATTATCTTACTTATATTTGATTATTTTGATTTAATTTAATCAGATATTTGATATGGAATTAATTATTTTTCATTAAATGCAATTTCAAATCACAGATGGCAATCACTATCATTCATCTTAATAATACAGCAATACAAATTTTAATAAATAATGGAAAAATATAAAGTAACTAGCAGGTAGGCTTCGGCAAAAGTAATGATAACGAAGATTAAGATTATTACGTTATAGTCAACCTTACCCGTTTTCACAGAATGCAAGAATTGGGTCCCCGTTTCCAGACTAATTAGAGAATTTTTAAATGGGTCTAAAAATATGTTCAGTTTCTCGCAAAAACGAAAAAAACTGCATCTGCTCTTGCATGTCGCTTTCTCTTAACAATTCCATTGTTACGTAACACTTCTGTTGTTGACACATCCATTGTTATTTAACACTTCAATTATTGATAGAACTGAAGCCTTAATCCTGTCCCTCTTCCCCGTGGGGAGGAATTTCAAAAAATCCCTTCTTAGTGTGTGTTCTCGTAACGTACAATAACTGTGTACCAAATTTCAACTTTCAATTTCTAACCATTTGGCCTCTACGCTTATTTATTATTATTATTATTATTATCAACCCGTCTTGATTATATATATAGATTAAGCCAAGATAAAAATGAATTTTTTCAATATATCTATAGCTAATATATTCAATTAAGTTATTTATCTTCACAAGCATTAGTATCTTTTCTTTATTTTTAAGTTTTTAAAATAAATTCACCTGACCTAACATACAATGGTGCAGTCATAAGCTGAAAAATTTGTAGCTGCAATAATGGCATGTGGTGAAAATGGAATTGTGCAATGAATCAATGCATAAACAAACTTACAGCTAATTATGTTAAAGCACATAAGGTGTGTCAAAAAGTTTATGAAATAAAGTATTTTCAAAAAACTTCTGAACTATGAATTTTATAAAAGTTTGTGTTGTTATATTTATTGCATTATGAATATAATTTTACAATAAAATAAACCAGTTTTAAACATGAAAACAAATTCCATATTTTACTGTATTTTTCTACATTTAAATATATTTAGATTCATAAATACAGTAGAACCTCAATTATCCGGACCTCCATTATCCGGATTTTCGATTATCCAGATTGTTCAAAGTAAACAAAAATTTTACGAATTTGCTGATTTGCACTTGGCAAATTATGACACTGTTTATGTACGTGATGGAATGCATAACTTTTTTTGTTTCAACAACGTCTCACCCATCACAGTGGTCGTAAACTCTTAAATATATTTTACGTAGTAATAAAAATATAACTTGACATACGTATTTATAAATAATTTATATTCAAATTACATCATTTCTATGACCNTATCAATTTCACAATCAGTTCCTAGTTGAGGTAAAAGATTTTTTTCTAAGTTATATTCAGGAAGCAATTGTGGAAACAAGGAAATTGTTGATACAATTATGATAACAGTAAATAACTCCAAAAACTTCCTACATGAGAAATGGGATAGAAATTATTATCTACTATAATATAGTACTAGATAAGTCATAAAGAGAGAGAGAGAGTATAATTAAGAAAAAATTTTTGTATAACCATCAAATAATATCAAAGAAAAAAAGAGAAAAAAATTTGTTGGTTCTGTTGTGTGTATTGATAATATCCAATGTGTAAGTTGTAATATCTTGTGTTTGCCATATCATTGAGGCAGAGTGTTAGCAAAGCCTTTGCTATGTAGCTTACAGAATTGTATTCATACTCAAAATCTGTTTGATTGATTTTGATTAAATTTTGTCATTTTCTATTAATTGCAATGAGAAATCCAAAAATATATTGAGGGTCCATTTAAATGTAAAAAAAATAGAGAGTCCATGACTTCATTTTCAATATACAGAGGTATTAAAGTGACAATGTCTGTGCTCTGATGCCACATAGGAGATTTTTTTACTCCTATGCCTAAATTCTGTTAGGCCTAGGGCAGGCATGGCCAACATATGGCCCGCAGGCTGGATGTGGCCTGTGTAGTGTATTTATGTGGCCCATGATTAATATTTCAATATTAGCTACTTAAGTCAGAATAGATTGGTGAAAAGTTCTAACGCCTAAAGAAAGATAAAAGTCAACAACTCACTGTCTGGTTAGAGTTAACCCTCCATTACAAATCTCTTAAGTACAGCATAGAATGTTGATAAAGCATGATAATGTGAAAAATGTATCTGTAATCTCTATCTACAATTCAGTCTCTACGGGGTGACACCACAATGAGATCTTGCACCACCTCAAAACCTTCCTAGGGCAACCTCTGGTTCGGCCCGTGGAAAAAGTTTTATTTCCAATCCGGCACAGGGGCAAAAACTGTTGGCCACCCCTGGCCTAGATGTACAGGTATCACTCGTACCACAGTTTTTATCTGACATGGTTCAAGAATTAGGGAAATCCCCTATACAACATGGTTTCACTCTAACATGGTTCAAGAACTGGACATGTACAAAACATCACAATTTTTAAGTGCAAATACTGACATTTGATAGTTTTTTTATTCCAGCATGCATGTTGTCTCACATTTGCCTGTGAAATTATCAGATTTTATGGAAAAAAGTACAGAAAAATCAAGATATTGCCAATATTTCGAATTAAGATCAACAGGAAAGCTCAAAGATGACTTTTGTTTTTTTCAAAAAGAAAACATCCTCATTTAATGATGTTAAGCAGTGAAAAATTAATATTAACATATGATATTTTTGATTGTGATTGTTAGTTAATTTTGATTGTTTTAATAAATATAATTCTCTTAATTATGAAAAAGAATAGTATACTTTTGCTAACTTTTGAAACCTAACTATGTTTTGTATAGCATAGATTTGCATAACATAGCATGTTTTTGGAACCTAACTACTGCATTATATGAGAGATATCTGTATTATTCATATTGACATTAATCAAATTTTAACCATATGGTTAAAGGTGTTCTATTTTTGCACTTTTATATTCATATGGACATAGTCCATAATGATTTATTTACTTCTTAAAACCATTAAAAAAACATGGATTTTATATACAGCTAATATAAAATTCAGTTTTCTGGTATTAAAATAATACTTTGTGAATCTACATTAATAGTATATAGTGTCTGCCTCATTTATCTACTCTTAAATTTAGTAGTTTTCAAATTGTGGAGTGTGCCTTCCTAGTGGACTGCAATATCCTTTATAGATAGAATGAAAAAATATTATTATTGTTTACCTTCAAGTAAAATTTTTGTGTACATTTGATGCTCTATGTACAAGTTCCAATACTATATAGCATTAAAAACACTTGCAACTTTTATATTTATTTCATTAACATTATTATATTGTAAGTTATCGTACAATAACTACTATAAGACTACAATATAGTCATTACCACAGGACAATGATACAGTAGAGCGTCGTTTATCCGAATCAATCGGGGACTGAGGTTGTTCGGATAACTTATTTTTCGGATAACCAGTTATGTACGGAAAAATATATTAATTTATCCCGTGTTGAAATTTTTCTCTATTGCGTGTCGCTTCGCATTGAATTTTTGTCGATGTTAAGCCTAACGAAGACTATTGTATCGTTAAAAATTATTTTTTTATTTTGTACGAACAAAATAAATATATTGAAAAATATAAAAACAATAAAAAATTATACTTCAGAAGTTAATTTAGTATCAAAAACGTAAAATATTTAAGTAGCCGAAGACATAGCCAAAGATTACAGCGCCACAGCACTGGCGAAAATTTAAATTTGTCGACGACCTTCGGATAAACGATGCTCTACTGTAATTTAATTTTGTTTAGCAGTAAATATGCAATTTTACTTTGGTTTTGTTCAATATACAATTATGTACTATTAAAACACTTTAAAATTTCAGTCTTGTTAGAGAAAATACATCCTAAGAAAACTAGACAGGAAATACATGATTATGTTTTACAGAAAGTGCAGAGGGTAAAAGAATTTTTACAAATAAAAACAGAGCATCTCTCTAAAAAAATTTAAAACTTGTTTAATGTTTTCAAAAAGAAAATCTCAAAAGATTGGTCCTTGTACTTGAAAATACTATTAAGGTGTATTCATTTGTTTAGTTCAATAAAATAGTTAATTTTCAAATTTTTGAATGTACTACACATTTGGCATTAAAAACGCATATAATCAATACATATTCTAATAAAAAAGGAAAAATATCCTTAATAACAGTCTCAAATTTAAAAATTATCTGAACAACAACACAGTATTATGATTTGTAATATATCAGTCATTTTTTTAATCAATTGTTTAAATTTTTTCAAAAATGTAATTAAAACTTCATTATTTTATACATATAAAAGTAGAGCTTATTAAAGTGAAAGTATATTACTATTTTTTTAGGATCGGTTCCTCTTATTCCTTGCCTTGACATGATTTTCGGATTAAAAAAAAGGGTCAAATCCTCCCTAAACTTAGAATAATTGAAGATAAACAACCCGTATCGAGACGTCACCTGGTGAGGAAAGTAATGGGGATAAAACGATAATATTTTGAAATAAAATTTTATAACTCTAAATGGAATAATATACGTAAAAGACTATTTAAATTATGTTATTGTTATTATTATTATTAAAATTAAATGTAATATGTTAAACGACAATAATGAAAGTATGATAAGTATCAAAATAGATTTATGACATCATTCATGAATTCTTTTTGGTATTACTTCAATCTTGTAAATACAAAGTTATAATTAACTAAAAATTTTCATTACTTTCATAAAAATGCGAATTTTTGATATTAAAGTAATTGTTTTTGTAAAGCGGCGTTATTTAATTTTTTTCATCTAGTGTCAAAATTAGCGAAACGATTAAACGTATTTTAATAGATTTCAAAATGGCACAAGCTAACAATTTATGTAAGTAAATTGCAAAACTACGTTAGCACAACTTTCATATATGGTACGCTATAGCCTACATATATAATTGTTGCTCTATAATTTTATATTATTATTTAAACATAGCGTAAACGCTTAGGTAAATAATAAAAAAAGTTATTTTAAAAGTTATTTAATTCTGAAATATTTATCTAACTATAAAAAAATCATATTAAGAATAGGCATCAGCGAAGCGGTAGATTACATTGCAAGATAAATAAATTTTATTATAATTTTCAAAATACGTAACGCCCTAAAACACCAACAACAATATGACATAATATTTGAAATACAAAAATTAATTTTGTTTTTAAATTAACAATAAATTTATGAAATTTTGAAATAAATTTTATACGAAGAATAATTATTTTCGTAGCATTACCATCTCTGCACGCTAGGTCTCGCATTGCAGCTTGTCTGCATTCATGCCGCATGCGTATTGGGTGTGGATGGTACAGGGAAGATGGCGGATAATGTGCGAACTAGCACTCCAGCCGGAAAAATACAAGGTAGGAAAGACAAAACAGTGAACAAATACAGATATGTTTTTTAATAAGTTAATAATAGTCACAAGAAAATCTTTCGTTTAATGTTATTTCGTTTGAAATTTTCCACTATATTACTTGTATATAAATAGTGAAGAATGGCGCATTTCTTTTCATTGATTCGATTGTTTGAATTCTAAGATTCATTATAAACATAATATAAACTACGTATGTGTGAAGTTAGATGACGATTCGCTGTTCAGACAATGACTTATATTTTGTGCCATTCTCGAAGATCGGACGATGAATTTTATCACAATGGTCTTTTCAATTGTGATCATTTAGAATGTTATCATAAGATAAAGTATGCAAATCAAAGAAATTAACCGGAATTTACCTAAATAATAATTAGCTTTAAACGTTAATTCTTTAACAAAATAAACTTTTACAGAAGAATTTATTGAAAGAAAATATATTTAAATCCAATTTATATTTTAATTAGTCGTACAGTAATGTAAGCAAAATAATGATGAGTATGAAATTTTGAAGGAAAACTTTACCTGAGTAATGAAGCTAAATTAGGAATTATATATAAAATATAATCAATACATCACATGGCTATTTTAACACCAAGATAGATTATAGAAAAATACATGCTTTGATGGATGTTTTAAAGTATATTTTAACATAACTTTTAATATGTAATTTTTCCAAATTACCTTTATTTTATATTAACTTTGTGCTGTTTATAATGAATTAGTGAAATGAATAAAGAAGAAATTTAAATGTCTTAAGATGTTCTGATTATTACAGTCATAGCAGTAAACATCTAGTGAATTTGTGTTTAGCTGAATGAACTACATCAAAGATATAAAATCATCACGAAGATTGTTGTAATGATTTACTATTATTAGTTTTATTACAGTCATTTATTTTTTTACTTTCTTAAATTGGAAGATTTATCTTCATTCTTTTGAAATTTTATTAATACTATTGCTAATTTAATTAAATGATGAATTTTGATTGCTTTTGTGAGATATTTAACATTTGATATAAAACAATAGTAATTTAACAGAATTTTAAATCTGTTCATATCATAATTTTTTAGCAGTTGGAAATATTAATTAATCAGTCTTTACAAAAATATTTAATATATTAATATATATAT